GTATATATATAAAACCCTTAATTTCTTAATGTTCTAAGAGACAAACATTGCTGGGATAAAGTATACATTGCCTATTCCCTATAAGGTCCACAAGCAACCTACTTTGACAGTATTTTTATGAGATATGAATGATCCTCATATAGTCCTAAAATATAATATTTATCTGAATGTGTAAAATATGTTTTTCAACGGAGATAAAAAAATTCTAATGAATAGATATTTGCCAATGAACCACTAACTTAGACTTAATTTTGTTAGGAACCTTGTCAAGATTTTTATTATAAGGCAAATGTTAGAATAAGAATTATAAAACCTTTTCCACATATTTTGTTTATTGTTTTTATTATTGTATGCAATGAGAGCATTCCATTTACTAGGATATAGAATCTATGCCATTGCTTGCCCTCACCAATGACTCACCTGGATGTAGCTTTTCTTTTTAATTGTAAATCTTCTGAATAACGTCTTCTCTCCTATCTGCTATACTAGGTTTTTATTATTAATTGATCTTAAGAAAAATATAACCAAAAAATTAGAATCAGTGTATTAATTTTAGATATTAAAAAATTATTCATGTTGTAACAGAAGGGAAAAATGAATCAAAGTTTTTGCAATTCAATAACTGATGAGTTGATATTTGAGTTTTTATTACATTTTACCATGAGAAAATCTGATTTTCCAATACTTACATGCACAATTGTCTCCAGACTCAAATCACATTTTCTCTTGGGTCATATTCAACTTTGTCCTGAAGAACTTCTTAAATCCTGGGGTCATTACCTGAAATATTGAATGATATGATAATATATATCATTTTAATGAGCCAAAATCATTTTCACAATAAATTAATATTTTCAAAAGAACTATTAAAATATTTTTATTAAGCTATTTCAATTTTTAAAATTCTCTTTTGCTTACAATATGTTTGCGTTTTGTCACATACATTTATTGTTTTCCATTAGATGAAGAAACCAATTTTCGCTTATCAAAAATACTTGGGATACTGAACAATCTAACTGAATATTTTGTCTATGTAAATTTCAAAGAACTAAAATATGATAACAAGATTTTAAAAATAAGCTATAGTTTAATCTTCCTTTGAATAATTTTCTTTGTCTAATCATTTATTGGAATGTGGTGTTCCTAGTCTTAGCTGCATATGTCTATTTCCCTTGCCAGTATGGTTTCTCAAAGCCAGAAACCATATCTAATTGATCTCTGTAATCTTTGTGACTGGCAATTAATTTATGCTGTATAAGTGAATGAATAAATGAATGAAAAAATGAAGTGATAAAGTACTTTAGGATTTTAAACTTACAATCAAGAACACTAACCATAACTATTAACTGTTATTTCTTCTATTAGAAGGCTTTAGATAGTGTTTGAATCTGTATTGACAATAAAAATTGAGTGAAAAGAAGTTCTTATATTAGCATATTTACTTTCGTAACAAAATAAAGTCCTGAAACTATTCAATTTTTAAGTTCTATGGTTGTTTGGATAATGAACAAAGTGTAGTTTACTGTATTGACTTTGGAAGTGATAAAGATTAAGCCACATTTAAAACATTAGTAGTTCACATTTTTCTGTATTGGATATACATAATACAGAAATATACAAATAAGAATGTAAAGATATTCTATTTGGAAATCAGGTTTTTATGAAACAATGTTTTGATGATTTACACGAGTCAGTATTAAATACTTCAAAAACATGTTTGGAGTATTTGATACTCCAAAGCCCAAGCCCAACATATTGAAAAAATTTTCACCCAAACATTAGCAGTTATTTTCTTCTTATCTAGCAGACTTCAAAATCAGAATCCCAAAAAGTATCTTAGTGGAGTATCTCTAAGTGTTCAGTAGATTATTCTAGCACCAATATTTTAAGAGGACTTTATTCAATTCATAAAATATTTATCAATGCAAAGAATTACGCTTTTATAGCTTTCCTTCTTCACCTTATTCCCTAGCGATCTAGAAAGTGGGCTCCTAGGAACAAGGTTGTAGTTTGCACTGTGCAAACTTGTAGCACTCCTAATCAAGGAAGCTGGCCTACGGCCCCTGGGTTATCAAGGATGCTGCAGGAAGTGTGGGTGGCAGTGTTTCAGACACATGGTGGACACCTGTACTCTCTGTGAGATCTAGCAATGTCCATTGTATGTGGTGATCCAATTCACTTGAGTCGTCTACTCTACAAAGAAGCTATCAAATTTCTCTGCCAGCAGAAATATGTGGTAAGTGGTAGTTATGGAGGAATCACTCCTTTCAGCAAGGTTCTCTAGGTCCATAATGGAGGTATCATGACTGGATATGTAGATAATGCCATTGCAGATACATCTGAAGGTCAGTTCGTATTGAGTCGCATATTGGTAGATGTGATGGCATGATTGTTATCATGAGACGTGTTTAATTGTATTCCTCAGTTTAGCTCATTGGTTTTTTGCCTACTGCCTCTAATATGTTTGTTCAGGAAGTGATTCTTTCTTCTATATTTAACTTATTCCAAATTTATTTTTACTGAAATACATTTGATAGTAACTGGCCAAAGCTGTTAAGCAAATCATTGTAAATATCTTTCAGATCTTGTTAAATTCTTTACTGACAACTGAGTTACTTGTTACCTTGTAAAATATAGTGGTTCTCATTCAATTTTGAGAATAGATCAAGTATATAATTAAAGGAGGTCAAGTTAAATGGCTAAATCTTCCAGTGGATTTTTTCAGGTGTGCTTAGGTTTGTTTAGTAAGAAAAGGACTTCAAAACAGAGCAAGTTCTAATTTAAACTCGTAAGTGAATTTGTAATCATAATAGTAGTATTAGTAGTTACTGGTATTTTCCCTTTCTAATTGTTAGCCTCACAAATCCTATAAGCACTATTTTATTTTCACTTCTCAAAATGAAACTGGAAGATCTGATTCTACTACTAGAAACAAATGATGTTCTTTACTAGACACATGGAATAAAAAATAACTGATTTCTAAATAGTCTTTGTGCTTCTTGCCCAAAGTATCACCAACATAAAATAAAAATGATTTACTTCATCATGGAAAGAACTTTGAGAAAGAATGTCTTAAAACCTCAAATATCTTTTGAAATATAGCTTCCTAGTCACTCAGGGCTTTATGTAACATCATCTCGGCTTCATTTTTTTAAATCGCCATAGATCCTCACCACAAGACATTTTTCACAGATCTGCATCTCCAAGTCCATAAATTTTAACTGATCTTTGTGGCTCACTTCAGTGTAAAACCATGTTTTAGCCTACATAAAAATTATAAATAAATGTGACTTAATAAATACTAATTTATCAGAACATAAAAACATATACCATATAAATGCATACCAGTGCTAATTTCATCTTCCACTCCTCCATATCCAAAATATCTTGGATTTTTACAGACCCTAAGCCATATTATTTTGTCCATTTATTTATCCAGTCTCTGTGAAGTTGGCTAACAGAAGCATTTCCCATACATATCTAATTTGCCATAAAGTATCTTGAATCTTTGTGTGAGCAAGGTGAGGCTGTTCTCTATCTAGTTCTTGCCTTTGTTTATAGTACATTAAACAACTACATTTCTCCTGATCTAAACAAAGAATAAATACTCTTATCCAATCCCAATATTCCACACCTTTCTGGCAAATGGAAACGTTTGTCATTCTACACTGTGTAGAATACATTGCGCCACTATGAAAAATGTCAAAGTACACGATCCTGGTTTCCTTTTATTCTCTGTTCACTATTTATTTGTTGGCAAATCTGTCTTAATACTGGATCTAGTCTTGCAAAGTACCGTCTTTACTTCCAATAGAATCTTTGAGACAGAAATGCCAATATCAAGTTTTAATTTCCCACCCCCATCATGGTCTAGAATGCCCCTAACACTTTCAACAAATAAAACAATAAGAAAAACAAAATATAAATAGACTTCTCTTTTCTAAAGATCTGTTACTGATGTAAGAAACTCAAACTATACATCTTTTTTTTATAATATCGCTTGGAACTTTCATTGAATGAACAGGTACCAAATCATTGATGTAGCATGAACCAGTGTTCCTCAAAGCATGGGT